ACTTTAGCGATTTTGCCTGCTGAAAAAAGTCCAGGTTTATAACTGGAACGCCCATTCCGCTTCTGCGTTACTCTGCAGAAATTAAATTTATGGTTATTCTCTTGCAGCCAAGATTTCTGAGTTGCTCTAATAGAGAACAGCGACGATAAGCGCGTTTTCCTCCATATTTCTATTTTCGACCACCTACTCCGAAAAGTAACCGGCAATCAATATGTAGTCGTAGATTATTTTATGGATTCCTCAATTAAAATCTGTATCTTATCTTACATCTTACCTATCTTATATTATATATAAATCTATTCTATACGTTCATTTTAAAGAAGTATAAACTTTCTACTTACGACCCAAATTTGAGTGATCCGTAAAAGGGCAGGTAATGAAAATTTTCGATCGTTGATCGATATCGTGGTTGCTCTTCTGTTTACCGCGCCATTACTCAACTCGCCACAGACGAGCAGCAACCTTCCGTGAGTCACGTGAGTCATTAAACATCGCATTCATTAAATGACTAACTTAGACAGCTGTGATTTGACGTCTGGTGCTAACTGTTTCGAGAAATCATTCCTAATGTTTGGAAAGCTCCAGGATAAAAACTAAGGACGATGACGAATACAACCGCTGGAAACCTACGTCACGATTTAAAGTATTGATTGTGTTGAAGCCGACTCATGACTCTACAGTAGAGTGTCGATAATCTGGAGTAGATTGTAGTTTGACCCTTTAAGGATTATCGACTTATCCGAATGTTGAATCCCATAGCAAACCTGGTATCTTCAGTTCAGTAAATAAAATATACACACCTGCACAGAGAAAAAATAATTTAGCTTACAATAATTATTTTATTGAAAATCTTGAAAAAAACAAAGGAAAAAAGAACATTACTCAGAGCCTAGAAAATATGACTACAGCGGTGTATTTCAAACCACAGAGTATTGTAATTATTAATGGAAAAGTCTTTCATCGTTTTTTGAACAAGGTTTGCGCTTCGTTTTTTGGCAGCCAAGTGTCTAATTCCTCGTAGACAGACAAGTCGAGCACTCCGACTGTTTTTCTAACTAACT